GCGCTCAAGTTAAAAGTTCTCTTTTCTATTGTTCAATAGGAGTATGTTTTAAGATCACTTGCGGCGAGAACATTATACTTTTTAGCATCACTATAGGGCCCATTTACTGATTTAATGCGTAATTTAAAATATTTTTTCCAAAGTTGAGAGGACCGCGGCAACCAGCGGACCTCCGCGGGTAATGGCAGCCAGGGCTAACCGCAGTGCGTCTGCAGTGGCCCTCTCTCGCCTAGCCGTGTGTGAAGGACCGCTGGCTATGATGGCGAATGGGAAATGTGCATTTGATTTGAGTTTATATGACTGTGTTAATTAAAAATAAAACTTTGTTTTTATTAAAAAAGAAGCTTTAGAATTGCATTGATGGAATTGGCTTTTTGTTGAATTGGTACATCCCTTGGTAATTAAGAACTGGTTCTAAGCACGTTTTGGATACTGTTAGCTTAAAAGGACTGAAGAGTTAGGATCTGCTTCATAGCTTTCTTTTGATGCTGAAGTTTTTTATTTGAGTTTGAACTACATTTGATCATCTTTAGGGCAACTATCAAACCAACAGACCTCAATAATTCTATGTCATCTACTATCCTAATAACACTTCAGTGCCATAGGTTAAATATCCAAAACCCGTACTATTTAGCCCAATCTACCCTTTAAACATTTAAGACTAAGCCTTCAAATTGTAAAATAATTTTATTCAAAATGCTATGTTGGTACAAATTAATAGAATACTTTATATTCAGGCTATTACGTAATATATAATCAGCAGCTAGCTTGTAAAAATGCAGCTAGCTTAGTAGCAAGAGACTTAGGAGTCAAAGCAAAGTTGGGTTTAATTTGTTATAAAGCAACCAAAGTCATTCAATAAAGCAAAAACCACAATGCGGCCAAACTAACAAAAAGACCTAGAGAAATGTTAGCATATGGTTGGCTAACCTTGCCACTAAAAAATAAGCTATGTTTGTAACTTATATATCGTTTTATATAAATCATTACATGACATGCAGATTTGTAATGACAGTTAACTGAGATTCTTGGACAAATCTTGTGTCTTAACAGTGCGAGTCCGATTCAGGCCTCAAGTCTTTGTTCATGTCATTAAAATAAGAGTTGTTTGTTCGTTCGTTCGTCTCCGTACCCCAAGATACTTAAACTCTTCCACTTGAGGCAAGAACTTTCCTCCAGCCTGAAGGGGAGACTTGTGTCCAGAATACTCAAGTCACTACGTCAAAACTGAGTATTTCTACTGCCAGAAAGAAGGTTTTGAAAATAATTTACCTTTCAATATTTCTTTTAAACTACATTATAGTGACTAAGTTTGGTTCCTAAACCTTCCCTGCCCAGATCCCCTTTGGTTTATAAGAAAGTTTTCACATCCCACACCACCCACAAACCTTTTCACCAGATAATTAAAGTCAATTGGAGTAAGTTTCTTAGTGCGCAAAAATAATCAACAATCGCATAGATTGTGATTGAAGGGAAATAAACCATAATCACATCCTTTACATCACAAAACTAACACCAATGTCCTTATTTTCAGTTTAACTGTTTATTTTGACTTTGTTTGACCTTATCAGGTCTTCAGGCTAAAGTCTTTTTCTCCAAACTCAAAGCAAAACATGGAAAAGCAGCTTTTAGCTCTCAAGCTCCACTAATCTGGAACAAAATCACCCCAAAAAACTGTAAAAGCACTGAAGCATTAAGCTGCTATAAATCAAGGTTAAAAAACAAACCTGTAGAGTGGCCTTTAACTGAGCTATCCGAACATTATTAGTTTAACTTTATTTTTTAAATCCTCATCTTATCATTTGAATAATTAATTGGATTCTATTTGTCTACCTTCAATGATTATTTAATGACCATTATGACACAGCAACGGACCCCACCTTTTATGTTTTTATTTTTCATGTATAAGATTTTGATTCGATTTCCTGCTAAAATATTATATATAATACATATTCCTAACCTTGACTTAGTTTACTAAGAATTATCTCAAGTTTTGTGAGCTATATTTTTTATCTTTTTGCCCATTAAAGCTACTAATATTTCATCCAAATGCAAACCTATTATCAATTATTCATCCTTAATCTTAGTACACTTTAAAATACTAATATCTAAAAACAAAATATCGATCTGATTCACTTTTTCTCTTCCTTTCCTCCTCGAATAAAGGTTTTCAGTCACTGTTGTTGGCTTCGCCATGTCATAAACCTCCAAAATCTAAAATTGTTCTACAAAAGTGGCTGTTGAAATCAATGGCCTTACAATGCCATAGAGCAGTGAGAGAACAATGCCCTGGAACTGCAACCTGGCCAGTGGGACAAAGTAAAAGGTGTGTTTTTACAGCCTTAGAAAGCAGGGTGAGCTGACAGACCCCTTAATTATCTCAAAAAAATCTTAAGGCTGGGTAACGCTTCACACACCACAGTTTGGCATTAAAATCCATGTGGTTTCCACTCTTGTCAGCCCTAGGATGCCATGTAGGGCACAGATTGCAAGCTTACAACACCACACGACATGTAGAAGAAGACAACAAGGCTGTTTCCAACATTTTTCAAAGCCTTTTCATTTCATTCACGGTCACAGAAATTTCTTTCCAAGAGTTGCTCAAAATCTCGCAATAGTATTGATATTTATGGGTAAAAATCAACAGATGTTTATGTTTGCGAATCCTTGCAAGTAGGAACTGTCGCTCGTCAAAATTTTTCTTTAAAGGTATACTATATGTTGTTTAGATTATAGAAAATACTGTCAGTTGCATGATAAGATGTTTTCTAACAATTAAATTCAAGAATCAAACCCTGTTGAAGTTTAAGTTACCCTACAGTCACACCTTAAAATGAAGCACACCCTTCTTTAAATGTTATTTTCAAAATGGATAATAGCTTTCCACACTGTGTGTAGTCAGACTAAACTGAGTGGCAGGTTTGGAATTTGAATCTGAGACAGAGAACCATATGCAGGGAGGATACATTATGGTTTTGGATTCCTTGAAGGAATTCATCATAAAATACATAGAATCTGTCCATTCAGATGACTTTCACTCCAAGTACTCTACAACATCTCACACCCGGTGGTGTGAAGGACATGTGGTGGATGGAAGGATGGATGTTTGGGTCTCACGGAAGCCATACTTGTTCTGTGATCAGAAGATCAGCAAACTGCCAGAGGGGAAGGCATGCACGACACAAATCCAGACAAAGCAACCATTGAGAATAAGACATGTGAGTGTGCGTCACAGGTACACCCAAGACATGTAAAATAAGAATGATAGCAAAGAAACACGAGAAAAGCAAATTGGAAATTCATTTTTTTGAAGGGAGAGAACTGATGCTCTCATAGTAAAGGCCTGATAGTGATTGTTTTCGGAGATAACATAGTAAAAAATAAATAAATATATATATATTGCTTTGAGATGAACAATAAATATTCAATTTAATATTTAATACGACTTATTATTAGCTATAATGGATTATTAGGTTATTAGTTTTGCCTTTCCTCCGGTCAAAGCAGAACACCTTGTTCCCCGTAGCTTAGACGCTATCCTGCCTTCCAAATGAAATATGGTATAACATAATACCCATGCCCTACTAAATTAACTTTTAATTAACACTTCTATCTGAAATTTAATTTTATTTGGAAGTAGTTTGCTTAAGATGAGCTTCAAATCCTTTTTATGTCTCTCTGGTGAAGCATCTTCAGTCTGTTCCTGGGCCAGGATAAAGACAGTTCAATTAAGGAAGTGTCTATTTTCTTACTTTATGCATGCCATTATTCCTCCCCTCTCCCCCAACAAGGGAATAAAAGGGTTTATGCAACATAAGGTTCAAATCTCACTCCTATTCTTGGAATAAAAATCTTAAAATAGACTTTGGTTTCATGGCCTTTCATTATGCGCTGTTATCCACATGGTTGCTGTTGGTGAGGCCAAGTCTGGGCGCCATCTTGGCTACATGGGTGACGCATTTCATTAAATTTTTATCTAAATTAAGACAGTAACTGTTATAAAAGATGTCAAGTGAAAACTTTTTAGCTTGACTTTCACACAAAGGTAAAAACAATAACTGTCCAAAATGAAAGTTCATAGATGTGCACTGAACATGTTTAGGTTAAATTGGATATCGGTTCAACTTTGTGATGATTTTAGCAGCTAAGTATAGAGAATGACTGGCAACAAATAAGACTTTTTTAGACATTCAGTGGGCACCATAAAAATGTTTATGCCTCATTTAAATCAGTTCTTAAAGACGATAGCTACCGGTTTAACTCCTCCCAGCCAGTAAGTGGCGCACTTGCGCCTGTCTGTCTCGTTTCACCCGTACCGTTTGCAAGCTGGTTGCCAGGCCTGCTAATGATAACTTTTGGTTACGCCTAAGCTCCTTCTAATGTGACTATAACCCGAACATTTACTATTGGTGCAGAATCTTTTCTTTTGGCGTTTTGCTTGTTACCCGGAGTTAATTTTTTTGGCCCGGTTAACTTTCTTAAACCATTTTTTTTTTTCTTTTTTTTTCCCGGTAAGATTGACACTTCTCCTGAACCACTCTAGATGTTCTTTAGCAGTATTATTTTTTGAAAGTTTTTTTTTTTTTGTTAAAAAAAAAAAAAAAAAGTTGTATCTATGGATTTTTGATCTATTCAGGCTGGGATGGCTCAGTAAGTTCAGTACCTCTGGTGCGTTCAAACTGAACATGTTTTGAGCATCAAAAATTATGTAAGTTATTAATTGTTGTTTTTTCATTTACGGGACAGCCATATTTAATCAGATTTTTCTAAAAGCTTGACTGTTTTTAATGTCATTTTAATTTCAAAGATAATTTTAGTTATATTTTAAATGGTTTTCAAAATGAATTTCTAACTGGGTTTTATGGTTTGCTAAGCTTTCAAGCTTTTGGAAATATTATTTTGTGCTTTCAATGAAAACACAGAGGCTTAAGGAGTTAGTATTTTGAACAGTAATCTTTGTTAGTATTACAGATGTACAAGCAGTGCCTATTGAGACTCACACATCGTCTTTTGATGGGAATGAACTTGCCCTCCACCTCAACCCAGCGGGTTTTGAGCTGGAGTTGCCGGGGCTCCACTAGATTGCCGGCTCCAGCCTCTGAGAGCTGATTGGCTAAGCCCTGCACCTCCTTAAGCTCCTCCTTCTTCTTGTCGAACTCTGAGCCAATTTCCTATTGGACAGAATCAACCGAAAGGTCACTGGCCATTGGCTGGGACCCGGTCGGGTTAAGCACAAAGAGGCATGTAGATGTGCTCAAAAAAACAAAAAACAAAACACATTTCTGCACAAACAACAACTCACAAAGCGACATTACATAATCAGGAGAAGAAATAAATGTAGAAAAAGAAAATACATTTATTTAGCCACTAGCACAGATGTCACTAATTAGAAGGAGAAATGTAGGCCCAAATAATATGTGGGTTATTAATCAATAAAAAAAAAAAATTACTTTGACTTAAGACTTTATTTTCACAAAAAGTACAATTCCTGGCAGATACAGAGGGGTGAGTTCTGTATGAGAGGCTCAGAAGAAGCAAGAAGGTGTATGGTAAGGTTGAAGAACAGAGAGATGGCCAAACACACAGACAGGCATTGGAAAATCTCAGTTGTGGAAATGACAGGTGAGTCTACGGCAAGCAGGTAACACTTCTGCTTAGCGAAATGTCATAGTGATCGTCTGAAAGGGAAAGACACAAATATAAAGTCAGGAGGTTTGCTGGAAAACCGGTGAAGTCCAAGTTCTCACACCCGGGAGTTATGTCTTTTTTTTTTTACCAACACCAGCTGATTTCCTCCGAGTTCGCTGAGCATACATGTTCAAGGTTAAAGTGTTTTAATAGAGAAATTATCAAAGGCACAGAGCAAAAAAGAGAAAATATTCAGCAAATATAAGAACAAAGAACATATTGAAGTCAAGAGAATCTCTGCTCTAATCTGGTCTTAAATAAATTATTTAAAAAGAGAGTCTGAATCTGATTTTCTTTTTTTCACGGTCAACTATTGTCTAAAGCTAGTCTTAAAGCTGAAAAAAAACAGAAATTAGCAAGAAAACATTGAAGAGATGTGGGACAGAACATGTAAGAAGAGTGAGAAGAGAACAAACATCTATGAAGGGTTTAATGGTTGGGAGTAATAAGTGTTTAGTATGTTTCTGAACGTGGTTTCACCTTGACCCGCTCTCCCTCAGGAGGGTCAGGAAGCTGGTCGACGCTGCGCTGGATGTCATCCAACCAGGCCATCAGGTCATGGGATTTCCTTCTGTACTGGTACCACTGGGGAGCGATGGCCAGAGCTTTCCTGTTCCTCAGGATACGCAGATCCTACAGACCAACAAATGCAGGCTGAGAGATTCAATAGTCTTTTCCTTTAATGCCACTACTGCAACAGAAATTTGTCCTTTAAATGAAAAGCAACAACTCAACCCTGCTGAAAGACATTTGTATTTAAAGGCGTCTCAGAGGTCTGAGACAATGGACTCCTTTTCCTGAAGCCGTTTTTTGAACGACTCATTTATCAGTTGCGCCTACCTCAAGGGTCCCTTCTACTTTTATTGGAGTTGTCACACCAACCATTAATAAACTTGAGGAAACGGCTTCAGTTTAAGGCAAACTTTAATGGTCATCCATATGGGACGACAGCGATTGATCAGGACTCAAAAATCAAGGACAGAGGTATCAGCACCCCATCTAGGCGGTAGCCTTTGGCTTTGGTCCAAGGCTACCACTTTGGTAAACACCAGCAGCTCCTGACAGCTGATCTTATTTACTGGCAGCTCTCTGTGCCTGCAAGCAACATGTGGAAATTGAGTCCCAGCACTACTATTTGGTCTGACACTTTAGTTTTGGAGTACAGTCAGCATTGCTATAAAGGTAATAATCTACATATATTTCTAGCAGACAGTAAAACAAGAGACAAATACTCTAATTTAACTATTCTTCTTGGTTGAAGGATATTTATTCTATTTCCATCTAGTTTAGAGCATTTTCTTTCCTGTTTCTTCAGCTCTAATTGTATGTTGTGTTCAGATATGTTTGCATAAGGGCATTTGACCCAAAAGAACTCTTGAGATAAGATACTTGTAGCTCCTAATTTAACAATACTGCTTTAATCATGATTTAAACATTTCTTGGCTAAACTCAACTATAACTATAAATGCAATGTGGAACTGGTCAAGCCCTTTCTTTAAGTAATATTATACTTCAGCTCCATGACAGCTTCCCTGTCTGGAACTGTTTCATTAAATTAGGAAACTTTCCTGCTACTTTACCAGGCCCTGAAGATTATATTCTTGAACACATCAGGTACTTGCCTGAACTTATTCTGAAAGTATGAATATTTTTCTCAAACACTGGTGAGTATTCTCATGGTGACTTTCCAAAAATGTGCTTTGTTCTATGAAGGTTCCGTAAAGTCTGGGAGAATTCAGGGAAAGTTACCAGTAAATTATTGGATCATAACCACAAAGTTTGGGTAAATATTTGGCATGTTCCAAAAAGTAGCCACTGGTCTCACATAAATATCATTACCATGAGAGCAAGAAAATAAAATTAAAGTGATTCTGGAGATCACCTGGTAATTCCCAATAAAATAAGTCATAAATCCTACAAAAGAAAACTCCAATTTAGGGAAAAAAGACTACAGAGTTTAGGGGATTGGTTGGTAACCTACATGCTAATTACTAAAGTCTGCAAACTGTAACCTCAAAGTTCTGCGAGGCAACATGAGAAGTTCCACGAAAGTAACTCCATTAAGTTCCATAATTTTAGAAAGTATCTGGTAAATTCTCAAAAGAAAATCTCTTAATCCAGAGAAAGTACTCATGGTGTCTCGTAGCTCTGACAAAGTCTCAGTTGTGCATGTTGAGTTACCTTTACGGTGTTGTATTTGCTGTTGAGCTGGTTGTGTTTCAGTCTTATCTGCTCTCGCTTGTCTCGATCAGGGGCTCTCCTTTGTAGGTTCTCTCCTTTCAAAAGCAACTCTTGCACCGCACCTTCTTCACAATTCTGCACACAGAAACAAACAACCTTTAAGGTGCATTTAAAAGACTAGACCGGCTAAAAACGTCTGTTCTATTGGCAGAAAGATACCTTGTCTTCCTGGAAGTCCTCCTCCTTTAGGTTCTCTCCCTGTTTGGCCTCCTCCTCCAGTAGCTCAAGCCAAACCCTTACTTCACTGTGATACTGTTCAAGCTCCCTTGCCGATGCCGCTGTCTGCAGAAGCAGAGTTAGAGTTTGAAACTTCTTTTTAGATCAAAAGAGAGTTCTGTTGTAGTAGTCCCTACCAATCCAGAGGTGATCCTCTGAGAGATGATGTCAAATCTCTGGTTGAGCTGATCCATTCTGGGTCTAACTTGAGCCTGGCAGTTCTCTCCTCTGGTGGACATCAGCTCTTGTGCCAAATCCCTAACCTCCTCCATTTTCCCTCTAGTCAGCTCCAGCTCTGCACGCAACACCTGGAGGAGATAAACAAGCAGTCACGTTTCTAAACCATTAAGTTCTATTATTATGTAAAGTATCAAGTGTTGAGATTTGGTTCTCTTTGGACCATTCTTGGACCATATCACTGAGGTAAAAGTCTGTAGATATAAGTTGGATTTCCTTTGGCAATGGCATAACTTGCTTCATTCTTTGAGCTTAGCTGTCCAGATTAACACAAATTACCTCTAGAGCCTGACCAGTAGCAGCTCAACTGTTACTGCCACGGATCCACATGATTGGATTAGGTATTCAAATCTTTAGCCTCATAAATAAATGAACTAGTGAATATCTAGTAAGAGTTATGAAAAAAAAAGATTTCCTTTAGTCCACAAACTTCCCCCTGACAGTGTACGACACAAAGAGGAGATTTTGAGTATTATTCAAAGATCACAACCTTTAGCACAGCATCATTGGGCCCCTGATTATCTATCTCATCCATCTTTCTCTCTGCTCCGTCAATCCATTCATTCACTTCCTTTATCTGTCCGTCTAACTTCTGCATCTGGTTCTGGTAATCCTAAGCAGGTGAAAACAAAAAACAAAAGAAAGATTGAAAGTTTGAGCATTTTTCCTCCAACAGCAACAACTTCCTTAGTTGAATAATAAACACATAGTATAGATTAGGATGTTTATTTCTGACCAGCAGCAGGTTGAGCCATTCCTCTGCTCTGGATGTGACTGCGATCCAGTTACAGTGCAACAGACTGACTTTGTCGTCCACTAGGCCTCCGTGGCCTTTTAGCACAGCCTTTAGGGCCTCGGCGAGTTCCACCACCGCCTGCAGCTGTGGTTGACGCTTCTCGATGTCACTGTGGACTGACTATGAGGACAGGATGCAGACACAGGAGAGTTAGCACTGGTTTTCATGTACGTGCTTGTGACAAAGTTTCATATCTGCCGTACCTGTGCCCAGGTGACTTCAGCTTCCAGGTCGCCGGGCATGCCCTCCACAGCTGAGCGCCTGGTTAGCTCAGCGTCAGTCGCAGCCAGCCACTCCGTCAGCCCATTGAGCTCCTTACGCAACTTTCTGGATAACTTCAGACTCTTCTCCAGCTCCAATTTACTCTCTGTTACCTGAGCAGACAGAACAAAATGGAAGCAACATCTGTCGTAGTTACAGGATAACATGTTTCTCTGTGTGTTTTTGCATACCTGTGACCCCAGCTGGTTGTAGAGCAGTTTCAGAGCGGTCACTCTGTCGTCCAGTTCCTTAGGTTGCTCCGTCTGCTGTCTCTGGACCACCTGTCTACCTGTTTTAATCACAGTCTCTACCTCTCCCTTTACTTCACTCAGTATCTTGTACAGCTTCTGTTTAAGCAAAATGAAAAATGACAGCCGGCTGAAAAAACACACCCCAACTCTAATCCCCATTCACTCGCCAATTTCTCCACCTGCAGGGCCGCTACCTACCATGCACTGATCCAGTTGCGACTGTACTACATCCTGCTCCACACTGCGGATGTCCAGCAACCCCACCTGACCTTTGACCCCAGCCAGGACGCGCTCGCACTCAGCCAGACGGGAATCGAAGTTGGCCGGTTTCTGAAAGAAACGGAACTTGGTCCAGACGTCCGCCAGCATTTTCTAGGAAGACACACAACGACAGCCCATCAGTTAAACTGAAAAACCTGTTAACATTTTGTCACAACATTCACAAAGCAACATTTATATGAATTATATTAAGATTTTATCGATGTCCTATTGATGAAGTTTGCGTGTGTACCCTTAAAATCAACCTACCTTAATCAGTTTATCTTCATTCATAACAGTTTCTTGCTCATATAACCTGCGTTAGTGGCTAAACTCTCAGACTGATTTTCAATTTGTACTTGGCAGAAAACTAAACTCCCTTTGAAATGCAGATTTACAGTATTTCCATTAACAAACAAGAGAAAATCAAGTTAATTCACAACAAAAGGTTTGTTCTTCAAATCGTTCAGCTAGCAGAATCTTAATTCATGTAAATAAATGAGGGAATCAGGTCTCTGCATTTGTAGCCGCCTAAACCACACTAATTCATGTCGACACAGCAGTCACCAAGAACTCACCTTTCGGGGAAAATACGCTTCATGATTAACCTGCATTTTATCCTGAATGTTTCTAACTTTAAATATTTTGCTTTATTCCCAAACCAGAAATCTTTTGAAGTTCGTATACTAAAATGATAAGTTCCTAAAATACATTTAGAAATCCAAACATCCTTTAGTAATTATCTAGAGAATAGATATTTTGTTCTTTCCTTTTGGAACATAAATTTTTAAGTCTTGCCCAAGTTTCTCTCTTGATTTTATCTGAATATTATAAGATCCCATCTAACTTAATCAACCTTAATCCAAACCATTTTAGTGCCTCTCTCTGAAGGGTGAACCTCTAACCCATTCCCAAGTTTTGGAAGTGTCAAGGATTTCTTTTAAGTAATTTATTCCATCAATCTATTTATAAACACTGATGGACTTTTTCCTATATGTTAAGAAAAAGCATCCCCAGAAATAACAAACCTTTCAGGCTTTTACAGATGCAAAGATTAAATTAAACCCATTATGGTTTCTGATTTATAAAGGATGTTGGCTGCAGTGGAATTTGGTGTCTTTATTTTTAACGTTTTAGAGTAAATCTACAAACTAGTAATGATATTTCAGAATAAAAAAATAAAAATCAGACAATCGTAGTCAATCAGCAGATATTCCAGTGAAATACTAATGCTAATAAAGTTGCTGTTAGATGAAAAATGAACAAAAAAGTGCAGATGGCTATTTGGCAAAGGGTATGAAAATGAGAAAATCCTCATGCAAATTAATTTTAGGTACATTTAATCTGTTTTTTCAAGTTTACCTGGGTTAAGTCAATCTGTCCCATGAGCCTCTGCGAAGGGTCCTTTTCCTGGTTCTTCTTTCTAATGTCTGCCAGAGTAGTTTCATGGACATTCAACTCCGTCTGGATTTTCTGTTACACACAGAAGCTCAACCTTAGAAATTCAGTGGAAACCAGTCAAGGTCGCTCCTAATAAAGCTCCTACCAATGAAGTTTAAATAGCTGGTTAATGTACTTCCCCCTGCTGACCACCAGGGGGCAGACCATGCTAAAGGATACCCAGAGGCAAAGCCCTTAAGTTTGCCTCATGAATAAACACATGCTTTCTTCCCATTCACGCTCCGTTTTAAATATCAGTTCCTCAGAAATCAGGCGCTTATTCGCTAAATGAATCCAGTCATTTCCTCCTCTTCCTCGCTGTGTGTTTGTGCGCGTGGCTGAGGGGGGGAAATGTCATCCTGGCACACGCTCTCCCATTCTGTCACTTTGCCATGGCTGCAGGTCATTACTTCATGATCTATTGTCTGATTAGTTCGGCGGGTGTATGTGTGTTTGGATGGGGAGAAGAAGAGAGGTGCGAGGAAGCGTGCGGGGGAGAAGCCAATGTTTGACGAGGACACAGTGAAGCTGAGGGCAGCGCGTCCTCATCAGCTGCATCCTTAATTAGGACCTTGGAGTGAAGAAAAGAGAGTTTCCAGATCTGCTGCGAGGAAATCCAAGGAGGAAGAAGTTTCAGAGATGCCAAACAATAACAGAGCCTTGTTCTTTTTAATCAGATCTGGTTTTGGATTTTGACAACATTTGGAGATTTTCCCGTTTCATGTATGACACACAATAATCAAATCTATTATGTTTCAGTTTCCCTGGCCTCTGAAGAATACAATAAAACAGTTGAATCTCTTGCATGTTGGTGATCAAAAGAAGGCAGGGAAGGAGCCTTTTTCTATGTGCTTCTGAGAGCTGAGTCAGTGAGTCTGTGTGCAATGGAGCGATGGAGAATGGCTGGCGAGTAACCTGCCTGAGCCATAGGTGGTGATCCTTTCCAGTTCAAAGAGATGTAAAAGGCTGAGAGACCTGATGTAAACTGGTGCCGGCATCCAAGCTGGTTCGGAGATATTGAACCAACCTGGAGATGCTCCCCTTCCTGTCCTTTAGAAAGCTTGTTTTAGAATAGCAGATTCCTTCTTTTTCAGTTCTCTAGTGGCTCCTTCCAAACTTTCCAGGACACACCCCAATTCCTCCAGAATTAAATAATCATTGTGTGAATAAAAAAAAAAAAAAGAACCCTACCTTTTTTCCCCCTTTCATCTACACCTTTCACCATTATATGTCATACATGTACTGATTGAGATCAAGATTGTTGGTAATACCAAATTTGTTGTTTATATTGTTATAAGAACTATAAAAATATACATCTAGCTTATTAAAAACAAAAACCCAGTTCTACCTAGCTGCCCCAAGGCCAGACAATGAACATGTAGCAGCCTTAGATCATTGTGTATACATCTTAATGCTGTAATGTTTAGTGAGATTACTAAACCAAACCATAATCCACTCCAATTAAAGAAAATATCTTATATTCCCTAACTGAAGTGTGCTTTGCACAGGTGAGCATGTTTGATGATGGTTTCGTACCACTCCCATCGTTTTTTGTTTTTTTTTGTCTTTCAGTTGCAGCAGGTATTAGGGGTGGGTGTCGGCAAAGAAGTCATGATTCGATTCTAATCACGATTCACATGCCACGTTGCGATTCTATCACGATGCATCACGATACTTAAAAATATTGCGATGCATTGCGATATTTTCACTGAACACTGGAAGAAAAAGATACAGCCATTACCAGTGGCTGACTGGCTGGGTATGAGCTGGATCGTGTCTTCAATTGATACATAACTGAAAGCAACTGAATTCATACAAAGCTGTATTTATTGAAACGACTTTTGGAGGTGTTGCCATGAAAACAAATAGTGGACAGAAATATTACTATTACTGGCGTGGACACTGACAAAATGATCTTAGGATTCATCAAACTTAAAATAACAAAATAAGGATAATCAGTGCCTTTTACATGGCCTCAGTGGTCCTTTTGCAAATTACGTGCATCATATCAATTTTATTTTTACCTTCTTTGTTTTTAAAGCCAAAATGCATCCAAGCAGGGCGAATTTTCTCAGTTTCCTCCATATTTTGTTTACGAATGACTCGTCTCAGTATCCCGTGGCCGGAAATGCTTGTGACACAAGGCAGCGGGCGTCAATACATCCACAGCTACATCTGCTGGACTGGAAGTTGTATTCCACTTGATTTGGCTGATGTGCGCCAACCATTAATGTATTTTATTTGTTCATTTTTTATTTTTTATAATCGACTCTTGCCTTCAAGAATCGATGCAGTAGATCACAAAAATTTGAATCGGGATGCATCGTCATGACGATTATTTTGCACACCCTTAGCAGGTATGAAATAAAATTTCAAATTGCACTCTGTCAATTAAAGCCAGCAAAAACACAACATTTTAAGCTCCTTGTGTAAACTATCCTGCGCTGGTTTGTTGTCCATTTGTTTTGCCTCCATCTAACACTCTTCATAAAGGTGTGCTTATTTTTTATTTTCAGTATTTGGACCTAACTTTTAGCTTTTTCTGGTTGTGTTATGGTAAGAAATTTTGGGCAGTCATTTGGACACAAACCTGAGTGCAAAAATGAGTGAAAATGGTAAGAGCTGTGGGTACATCATGGCTACCTGAGCCTCCTGTGGTATCTGCTGGGCATCAATGTGGTCAGACAGGTAAGCAGTGAGGTGGCGGTCCGTGTTTGCCAGAGACTCCTGGATCTGCCTGAGCATCTTGTCGTTCTCCTGGGCCCACTGCACACTTTGCTCCAGCTCCTTCCGCCTGAGCGCCGCCTGGGAAAAGGAAAAGCTTCGATAAAAACTGGCATCATATACAATCATTTTAATAACATAATAAAAAAAAAAGAATAACATTTGATCTAAAGCCATGTTATAACGAATGAAAAAGAAGATCAGAGAATTGGATAGTTTTAGAGCGCTACATGGCGTCAGGATTATGACAAAACAGAACTATGAATGTGTATTATTGCTTGACAGGTGTGTTGAGGTCGCCTACTTTCATTCACCTCAAGCTCATACAACAAAAAACCTGGATATCATAAACTTCACACGTGCATTAAACTTCCCAGGTGCAGTATTCAGTGACCAGGAGCACAGCTGAGCTGCATGAAGTCGACAACCCACCTACGTGAAAAATGCTTCCGGTTAATGCTTCATCAGTGCAGGTTTGTGCAGATTATTTTTTTAAGGCCACCCAGAGGTCACCATCCCCTGATTAGCTCTAAATTGAAAAAAAAGTGGTCTACTTTTGAGAGTTTTTGTGCAGTTAAAACTGTTGTTTGTGCTGCTTTTGTTTCTAAAATATAGTCATTGATGACGTCACCATCTAACCAGACAGTGCTGCACTCGTGTCTGAATTAGAAGTTATTGCATTACAAAATATGGCATTGCTGTGCTGCAGTTATTAAAACAGCCGGCATGTTTACCTTTCCTAGTGGGTGGAAAGATAGTTGCACAATATTTAGTTGCTCATCAGCCTTTGATTTGGATCTCCCATCGCCCCTAGCAACCCCTTTGCGTTTCCTGTTAATATCTTGTTATCAGGACTTCACAATGAAAGCATAGGTGCAATGTAACAATACTTTGACTTATGCTAAATTGTTCAATCAGCTTGGGAGGCCATCATCAGTTTTTGGAAAAGCCCCAGAAGAAGTTTAGAAGCACTCAATTTTCCAAGTTTGTTCTCGTGGCTCAGCTGTACTCGTGGTCACAGAATTGTGCACATGAGATAATCAATGCACGCCTGTAGTGTAAAATATGCTTGTTTAACATTATATAAGCTCCTGGTGAATGAACAGCGGTGACCCTAATGCTCCCGCGGAGTACATTATACGACAGTTGTTTACTTTTGTTATAATCCTGGTGCCATACTGAAAGGTCAAATTTCATAAAACTGGTAAAACAAGTTTTTTTTTTTTTTTTTTTTTTCAAATCACTATAACTGCTAACACTCCATTAAGTCAGGATGTATACTAGTCCATGGGTGATAAAAGGTCTGAGATTTATTTACAATGCAGCAGGCACTGATTCTCTTAAACATGCAGAAAATTTCCATAAAGTTTTTGTGTAATTTTGCACTAGAGCCTTGCATGATATCCATCTTATTACTACATAACCGGTTTATTTTTGCCTGTTAAAAAATAGCAAAACCTCTGAACTTAAAAAAACCCAAATAGAAACAATTGTGTACTATAAGAAGCTCTAGTCATTCTTGAGACACAAAACCTAACTATAAAACAGAAAATGCACACAATCGTCCTCTAATCTTCTTAAAAAAATAAATCAAAGTACCCTCCTGACGGTTGGACTTCGAGGTATTTCTTTCATGTTGTCTCTTGATGCGCCAACCTAAGATCTCCAAACGATGACCGCTGTCCTACCACTCACTCCTTTCACTATTTTCCCCGGTCACTGGCTGTCAGTGGGATTAGCTTGCAGACGCAGCGATTACCTCACAGATAATCCCAACCCTGAGTGCGTGTGCTTGGTTACAGGTGAGCGTGCTAATCTTACACAGAGGGATAATAGATCTAAGTTTAGCTCTGAGCCCCTTGTGCTGGGCTAATTTAAGAAGTGTCCAAGAGGACGCTTCGTATTGAAGGGTTTGGGTTGAAAGGCAAACGGTAAAATACGACCTGCATTCTCCTGCCGTTACAGAAGGAGAACTGCAGCATTTTGTACATTGAATGCATGTATTTGAGTGACTTGTTAAGCACTCCTGTGGTAAATTAAGACCAGTAAGAGAGTTTTTTAATCAAATATTAATTTTCATCAATAATACATAAAAAATATGTAACACTCCTTAATTATGACATTAATATTCCAAAGAAGCATTATTTTGTCTGTTATCCTAACTCCAAAGACCAATTCCCAAAAAATAAGTGCATAACGCTGATGCATTTACATGGCAAATATACCTTTACAACAGCAGGCAATTCACCTTAAGGGCTTAAGTTAAATCATCAAAAGACATCAATGTGTCACGGAAATGCATTTTTTTTTTTTTTGAGTCACAGCGATGAGTGAAGATCCATTTATCTAAAAACCAGTGTTCGATAAAGGACATATAGACCTGTGTGACATTTGAAATGTAAAATTCTGAAGATGTAAGAGTTAAATTTAGATAATCCTGTAACACTGTTGGCTAAAAATAATGTACAAAATCTTAACTGTATTGAACTTTCCAACTGTGAGGCAAATTTTATTTTTCATGTGCTTAAGGAAAAGAAAAGGTTCACAGACTCTGATAGTGAATAATTTAGATTATTTTCTGATCTCAGTTAAATAAACGTAAGCAGAAATGCTAGTAAGGAGGAAGCAGTTCAAACAGATCTTTATAACCCATAAAAGCAGGCAGATAAACGGTTTCCTACCCGGGCCATGAGTTCATCCCATCGGGCGTTAAAGACGTCCAGTTTCTGTTGAATGAGTTCATCCAGAACCCCTCCGTCCATCAGCGTCTGGGCCAGTTCTCGGATCTGGTTCCTGTTGTCTTCTGGGTGTTGCAAAAGAACCTCAAGGCTCTGCAGATTTCACCACAAAACAAAGACAGTCCTTTATTTTCTTCCACAGTGTGATAAAAATCCCAACTTATAGTATTTGTAGCCCCTTGGCACTAAAAGTGAAATATGTTAAAGGTCTGTAACAGTTAGAAACAATCGATATGTTAAAGGTTGCTATGTAGATAGTTGCTTTTTGTATCTCTGCTTCTGTCTCCTTGAACCCCAGTCGGCCTCGGCAGATGGCCGCTC